GTGTGTGTGTGTGTGTGTGTGTGTGTGTGTGTGTATTTTATATATGTAATCATAGAGAAAATTATAATAAATACGAGAATCTTACATATTGTTGTACAAACGTTTAAAATAATTTTAATCAAGATCGCAATAGTTGCATGTTTCATGCGGAATAGCGTGAGTGAGTAGAGTGAAGAATTGGAAATTTTTGCAATAAAAGCAATAGGAGGAACAAGATTTTATTCGTGATATTCAATCAATACTGTCCCAAATTGTCTCGTGCAGTTCGATTTCGCGAACGTCCATCCTCTGCGTCATCCTACAAGTTTTCGTCGTTTCCACTCCGACCGCGGGAATGAGAAAAACGCGGGCCAAAACTCTGACTTCTGGCAAAGATTACGTTTAATCAGAATTAAAGATGCGCTTGCGGATCATCGATAGTCCAGACGGGACTATCGGCCGATATCCGTTTTATTTAGACTAGAATAGAGTCTAATCAGGGGTGGGATTCCCCGAGCGGGATTGCCGCTCGAAAGTTTGTATCACGTTAGACAGGTATATCGCTTTTCCGTCGCCTTTCCGAATATCCGCAGCGGAATTATACATGTTCGCTATCCGGTATCGATTTTGATCTATGGCTCGCGTATCCCGCATTTATATCCGGCATTACAGCAACTACCATTGCAAATTCCTTTCTGAGATTTTCCATCACGAATACCTCGCGCGTTTTCTGCATGACTACTTATATGGGGAATATCACACATGATATTATGAGATATTATCGCGATGAGGAACACAAAAGTGAAAAGATATGGAGGTATCAAAGACGCATACGATTCATTCATTAATTGCCACATTAGCCACTATTTTTTCTTTCCGTTAACACTACCATCACGTCACGATATGAATAATTGAACACGCGCGGATCTCTGAATATGCATCTCTCGACTTGGTCGCATAAGCGTATGTATGCTCCAAGGAATCGTTGTCATCGTTGTTCCTTAACGTTAGTGTCAAAACTTCATTAAAATGGGAGGCACATCTTCGCATTACAGAACATCATTCACAAGCAAACTAAAATTGCAAATTCATTAAAAATAACGTAATTCGCGATTAGATAAGCAATTGTCCTGAATTCATAGATATAAATTCAAAAAGAAAGGAAAAATTATCAGTTTCCTAAGTTATCCTGTTTGTCGAGGTAATGCCATTTATTATTCTGTTCTTTCAAACTAAAATTGTTTTCAAGTCTCAGACATATCAAAACAAATATTAGATGCATTAGCATGCATCTCATCAAAATGCGGATGTATCTTTTCAGATTCGATAGAGGTAATACCATTTTCAATGTTTGTGATGCTCGCAAAGGCATGATCGAGATATTTCGTTGCAGCGGCGAAAAGGAAGCGAGGAGTTGTTCGGGCTTCTTCCCTGTGAGACTTTCTTCCGGCGGAGCGCAAAGGAAGTCCGACGTCACGTTTCCCAGCTGTACACTTGGCGAATTCCTAATTATTCTTGCGACGCGTACAGACTTTAAATTCTCGATTTACGCCGGAGTAATTAATAAATCATTTAAAAAAAGACATACAGAAGTTTCTAAGACATCGCCGTTCTATGTAGGCCGCTTAAGATTAAGTGCAAGTCGATTTTTTAAACAGATCCGGCTTTATTTTTGAGACATTTATTTAATCATATTTGAAGATTGTTACCTCTTACTCCACTTTTCATCTTATTTTTTTTTCCTTTCATCTTATGTTACGTTTGATATAGCTACAACACATTTTATAATTTGTTCTAGAACAACTTTAACTGCAGCGCTAATCATTTTTATTTATGCAAACAATATTTTAATGAATATCCTGAATATAATAATTCTCTTTCTTTATCACACTAAAGAGTAAAATGTATTTGTATCTTCCATATTTCATATCATGTTAGAAAATTCTATTACATTAAAAAAAAATTATGATACGATATTGAACTTTGAATATATACAGTAAAAACATTTTTTGTTTATGCTAAAATTAATCCTTGTTAAAATATTTCTGTTAAATATATCCAAGTGTTAATTTAATATGATGTATTACTTGAATATTTTATATTGAATATTCAACATTTTTCGATATTAAAATAATACATTTCATAATACATTTCAATAATACATTAAAAATATAGAAAGAAACAAAAATAATGTAGTTTTAAAATATAAATTCAAAAAGAATAAACAAAATATACGTATTAATTTTACATATTATATTATAGGTCATCAATTTTATCGAAAAAAATATGTGATAATCTTAATTATATATTTTATAATATATGCAGAAACGTAATAAAAATGTTTATAAAAAGGTATATATATATAAAAATGTATAGATAATTTAAGATATTTTTTCTTTGTTATAGCTATTATCTGTTAAATTAACATGTTTTACATGTTAAATATCATCTATCGTCATATAGGAAAACGTTTTCTTCTATTCTCTGTCTAAAAATGACAAATGACTATTGCGTCATATTATACATAATTTTTTCTATGATATATGTTTATTTAATATAATATTACATTTAATATTATATTAATGTTATATTTAAAAATAAGCTTAATATATCATTTAAAATCATAAATAAGAAAGTTAGCGTAGAGTGTAAAACTAACTTACAAATTTAAAAATAAGGATATGATAAGTATGTGTAAGTGTGTAAATGTGTAAAAGTGTGAAACAGCGAATATGGTATCTTTAGATATGTGACTGTGTAAAAAAACCGTGACTGTGAATGTGTAAAATAGTAATGTATAGATAGGAGATGTGACACTAGGTGTGCAATTGTGTAAAACTGTAAGACTTCGGTATAAGTATGTAAAAGTATATGTGTAAATACATAGTCAATCAGAGAATCAGGGATTGCTCATCATCATTAAAACCGTCTAGTGATGCAAAAGCAACCATCCAGAGATGACGATGACGACATTCAAAATGTTTCTTAATAAGAAATTTATACATTTCCACGTACAGTCTTTACATCATATCTCTGCCTACAAAGCAGGTAGAAAAAATAAAAAATTTTTTATTTAACTCGAACTCAAACTTATCAAAATGTTCCAAGTATTTCATCAGTCCAGCTCTTGCAAAGTATTATATTTTTTAGTGTTAATTTTTAACATCGTTTGTATTAGTTTGTAACATATCTATCTTTTATGTTTCAAATTTAATACACTTTATTAATACATTTAACATATACATACAAGTACTTTACATATTCTAAACGGATATCCATACAAATTTTTGTGTAAATTTTTTTTTACCACGTACATTTTTCGACATTTTCATATTACGTCAAATGGCCGACGTCAATTGGCTTCCTGTATCATCGAGGCTGTAGCAACAATTTAATCCGTTAAACCGCAGATTACATTGACGATGATGCGATAATTGAGTTTCAGAATTTACGCGGCAAGTTCGTTAAAATGCATCTGGGCACCTCGTTCGTTCTGCGATTAATAACGATTCAACAATGACGTAATCAATCATGCGGAAAAAAATCTCCGTTCCGGATTTTGTCCAGATATACTTTCCGATCAATATCATATACTGTTTATATACCGTACCTATAATTGTCGATTGCCAGACAACAAAACATTACTGTCGCAACGAGTGATACATTTTTCATCGCGCCATATAATACTGTAAATAATTAAAGGTTCGGAATAACCATTGGATTAGCACGCGTAATCGATAGACAAACAGCAGTTTAATACGTAATATCTTGTTGGTACGGACTATTGTTCGCAGGTACTCTACCATGAATATCACACGTCGGCGACACGAGAATATCGGAATATCGAGGGCAATGTAGTAGATGTCAACGTGTCAGACGGAGCGTGAAGTAATGGATTGTGACATTTAACAAGATTCATCGATAGATATTGCAATGTTATTTTTTGCGCGCACTTACCCCAAGTGATTTCCTAATCTTAAATCAATGCAGCGCGGAAGTGCGGCGCGAGACTGCAGGGGGTGGTTCTTAAAAATAATGCCGACACTCTCCGTATATATACCACGATATAACTTATTATTATTTCGCAAGATGGAAAACAAACTGAGTTAAGAAAGCGGTTATTTTTAAAGAACACATATTTTCAGGCACTCCATTCAGGCTCGTTCAACACGGAATGTAAAAAATGACCTCGGAAGGCTTACCCGATACCCCTGGCTGCAGCTTTCTCCCCCTTCGCGAAAAATTACTACATTTCCGAACGGGTCCCGACAAGTGCAACGATCATGGGCATCGATCCGCATCGGTCGCCATCGTGGGAACTAAATTTGCCGACGGTAAAAGCAATTTATTTTCAACTCCATCGTGACTACGAGGGCAACAAAAATTATGTAGTACGCCTGTAGATGCTGTCTCGGCAAGGAGCAAAGTAATTTCTCCGCGCGATTCGCCAATAACAAGTATTTGTTACTAGTTAAACACCTTTTTGGTGGCATAATGCAACGTAGTTAAGCGTATTTTCAGTCTCACTCGAAAGAAAAGAAAATATATATCAAAAAATTGTTGTTTACTACAAATATTATTCCAATTTAATTAACATTCAATTTTTATGAAAATTATGTTATTCACATTATGTTATACACATTCTTAGAAGATCATTTTTCCCGATGGATTACATTTCTTATATACACGACAGAAATTTCATTAATGTCAAATCACGCAATCAATTAATTATTTAAACTTCATAAAGATGCGTCTATTTTTAATCAAGATTCTTTTCGCCTACCTGTCCCTGTTAAAAAAGATAACCCATTTAAAGATTTCATCCATTTAAAGATTTCATTCATGGCGTTTTTGAAAAATTACCATGCTTCTTCAAATTCTTTCTCCCGCCTGGTATAACGATCCTAGCCATCGATCCGTATCGATTATCGCCTGCGAGTTAAATTCTCCAGTGAAGAAGAAACCCTTCTTGGGAAGGAAGGAAAAGCCTCCCATCCCAGAAATTCCAACCTAGAAAGCGCCGAACTACCATCCGCCGATCGAACGAACCGTTTCTCCTTGGCCTTACATCACTTTTATGCCCACCATATTTCTGACCGGCCAAACGGCCCGACGAATGATGCATTATTTACGATGAAATTCGAGACGAGAATCGACTGGAAGGATCATCGTTGTTCGTTACGAAGACTCACGCGATTTTCTCAAATCATATTCTTTACTATATTATTACGATTCTATAATTTTCTCTGACGAAATGCTAATTCATCAAAATCTTTAATTAAATTTTTATACAACATAGTGTAATAATTATTCAACCGATGATTTAAAATTAATCAATATTTAAACAGTATTGAAATTGAAATATCTTCAAGAGATGTCAATATTAGAACATGACTGCAAATTTTCACTATTAATTTATTCATACTTTTTGCATATATGTATGCAGTGTTAATTATTTTAAAAATTTCATTTCGTCGGGTCTTTTCTCTTTATATCAAAATGGAAGACATCCTTTTATCTATGCGACAATTCTTTAGCATCCCATTACATTAATTAAAATCTATCTCGTCGGATCGCTGCGGTTTTATACTTCGAATAATAGTTGATGTATATATATATATATATATATATATTTTATTTACCAAAAAAACGAGACAACGCACGACTATTCAAATGAAGTGAACTAAAAATCTCTATGCTGTATAGATGTAATTAACCTTTTCAATCTCGACGCTACATAAAAATTAATCTTTTCTGTTATCTTCTCTCTCTTTCTTTCTCTTTTAGTATATAAATATAAAAAGTAATGTATATGTGTCAAATATAAGTAGTTTTATGAGACAAGGAAAGCTCATTTCGTTACCTCTGAAAAAGTTTAAATAAAATAAATTTACCTAAAAAAGCGTAAAAAGCATATTCCAGCTTCTATATAATGAGACGAAAAAAT